GCGCGCGCGCGCGCGCCCACAAACACAATTAGTACAAACGTACCCACACTAACAAACACAAATACAATATGCCTTACCTCATAGTAAGCCAGTATCCCCTCTTGCCGTGAGTACTTCCCGGGCTCACCCCCGCCCAGAGCAGGGGCGTAGACACCGTGTTGTGAGGGGTCCTCCAGGGTGAAACTCATACCGTACGTGGCCAAACCTGGGGGGACACATCGCTACCTTTTTAGTTTTAGCAGAGGTTTTTCGGCGCTCGCAACTGCATATTATTAAAAGGTCATATGAGCGCCAGAAGATTAGAGGTGTTACAAGAGAGTAACGAACATAAAAATAGAAGAAGGGAAGATAAGGAAGATAGATGTTTCATAGGAAAGAAGAAGCAAACCAGATCACCCGCCAACCACCCACACATTGTTACCTTATAATTATAAGGTTCTACCTGACTTTTTTTGGGGCCGTTTTGAGTTGCTAAGACCATGTGGTCAGAATGCTCTATCTGCTCTATCAAAATCGTCGTTATCAAAATATTCAAAAAATATTCGAATAAGCTTGAAATATTGTGAAACTCAAAATGTTTGACGTCAAATTTCTCAAAATTAGGTACTGAGTAGACAGAACGTTGTAATTCTAAGGTAGGGACAAGGCTTACGGTCAATATTGAGTCATGGTATGGGTTTGACGCCCCTTTGAATAACTCGTGAAATCTCCTCTAATCGTTGGCATTTACATGTGTCACGACGCGGTGGAATCAGGCGCCCGTCTATTTTTGGGGCATGTCGTGTTAGTAATATTAATATTATCTTTATGCTTGTTTATTTGACTTGCATTTGACGACCCCCCCCCCCCAACCAATCTTGAGTAGCAGTCAAGATATTTGCAATTGAAGAAGATTGGGGGTGTGTCGCCTGGTATGGGGGTAACATTAACAAGAACATGGCCGTAAAAGCTTGGGGATTTTCAAAGCTCGGGTGTCCATGGACACTGGAAATTTTCTTTTTTTTCATGTCTTTAAAGTACGTTTGGCGGTAACATCCACAGAGAAATACGTTCGTAAAAGGACATAAAGTGTGCTGAGCCAAGAAATAAAAAGTTCAATAAAAATTGACACATTGGCGAACAGATGACGGTTTCTTTTATTTCTTTTATTTTGACGAGCGCCTGATTTCACCACAGAGCCCCACATATGACTTAACTCTGTTGCAAGTGCCCAAAAACTCTTACTTAAAATACTTTTAAAACTGTGTAGATATTCTAAAGGTCAGACCGTCTAATTGAACGTTCTTCTTCTGCGATGCAATACAAAATTAACTTTTTCTTGGGATATACATGAATCCATATTTGCCCATTTTGAAAAAGCTTTTACTGCATTAACCTAAATCAACACCATCAGTACATTACTGTACTAATTTCCTTCCACTAAATACAAATGATGGAATGCCATAAGGTCTGTACTTTCCACCCCCATCAATTTGGTTTTTATTTTTAGGAGGCCCTTGAAGGCAGAGGGGAGGGGTGAGTGGTGGTGCCTCCTTTTCGAGTTTTATCTCTTTTTTTTATGGTCCCTTGCCCATTTCTAACATATTGCCACCGTCTGATTAGTAGAAATTGGGCGCATGATAGTGTGTAATAGTGTATTACGTACATAATTGTTATAACATGAAACTGTTACAGACAGATATTCAAGATAAATATAAATGTATGTCGAGTATCTGAGAGCAATGGTGATTTTATATGATGTTGGTGATAAGGGAAGATGTGAGATGGTGTTTATGTAAATAATTATAGAGAAGACATTTTTCTGTTAGTTGAAGTGGGTTTTTTATGTTAGCGTTAGTCCTATCTTCCTCTGTTCCGATGAGTCGCGAGAGAATAATATGTTGGCACCCGCTATCCCGTTCCCTACTACATGTAGAACCATCTTTAATTGTCAAGTTTATCTGAGCTGGATGTGATACAACGATGCACATTTTTGGCGAAAAGACAGGCAGAATCGAGAATACAAACATTTCCACCCGAGACTCGAATTCAGGGCTTAAGCTCGCAAAGTGAAAAGCACCTGAGCGCTCGTTAGGCCACCAATTCATTAAGATGTGATCGCACAGTACATATAGCTTGTAGCTGCAGGCAAACAGTTTAGATCTCCTTCTCAACCATTTTGGGCTTCTTTGCTTATTTAGAGTACCACTCCTAGTTAACTACACACGAATGTGTGGTGCGCAAACTTGATTTTTTGCCACTGTAAGCCTATTTGTTCTGGCATTCCCGTGTTGGAACAGTGGGAGGGGAGAGATTTCTCCTATATTTAGCGGAAAACCTGATGCTTGGAGCTGTCATTGATTAGGCTTGCATTTTTATTCTGCTATTTTTTTAAAATGTTTTTTTGAAGTTGCATTAGATTTGAAGAGGCTTGTAGCTCCTGCCCTACTTATTTCGGTGTTTTACCAAATTTGCTTAAAATCTATCTATCTATCTATCTATCTATCTATCTATCTATCTATCTATCTATCTGTCTGTCTGTCTGTCTACTTCGTGAGGTTGTGGAACTAAATAAGCCA